ATAAGGGGACCCGGGGGCTGAGCACCACCAAGGCCAGTCCTGAGCAGGCCCAACTGCAGTGCAGCCGCCCACCCTGCCGCCATGTCTCTGACCAAGACTGAGAGGACCATCATTGTGTCCATGTGGGCCAAGATCTCCACGCAGGCCGACACCATCGGCACCGAGACTCTGGAGAGGTGAGTGTCACACGGGACTGCCAGAGGGACCGGGAGGGAGGCCAGGCCTGTGAGTGGGACAGCGAGGAGGGGACCGTGGTGGGGGGAGAGGGGAGGGAATAGTGGGGACAGTGAGGAAGGGACACTGGGGAGGGGACGGTGGGACAGATAGCCTTCCCTCTCAGTGAGGAGGGCAGGGTGAAGAGGGTACGATTAGGAATTGCACAGGCATCTGACGGCGGGGGCTCACACAGGCCCAGGTTCTGGCAAGCAGAGGCTGAAATGTTTTGCTCTAGGCCTGAAGACCCATGCTGGGCAGCCAGGGCGCTACAGCCTCTAAAGTCCCAGCATCTGAACCCCTGGGAGGGGCCGGGGAGCTTTTCCTTCCCTGGAACACTGCTGGGAGGTCAGGGGCCTACAGAAGGGGTGGCGGGCGACCCGGTCCAGGGCTGGGAAGGAGGCCCTATGGCGAGAGGAGAGGAGAGCAGCTGGAGGGCGGTGGATTCGGGGACCAGGCCGCACAGAACCCGTGGGAAGCCGCAGCGGCCTCGGGGCCTCCAGCTCAGGGCAGCCTGGGAGGGGCAGCTGCGCGGGCACGCGGGCGCCGCGAGGAGGGGCTGGGGCCTGCGGCGACCCCGCCGTCGCGCCCTGGAGCTCGGAGAGGGCCGCAGGGCGCGCGGGCCGTGGCGGGAGGCGGCGCTGCCGGGAGCTCACGGCGCCCGCCCCGCGCGCCAGGCTCTTCCTCAGCTACCCGCAGACCAAGACCTACTTCCCGCACTTCGACCTGCACCCGGGGTCGGCGCAGCTGCGGGCGCACGGCTCCAAGGTGGTGGCCGCCGTGGGCGACGCGGCGAAGAGCATCGACAACATCGGCGCCGCCCTGTCCAAGCTGAGCGAGCTGCACGCCTACATCCTGCGCGTGGACCCGGTCAACTTCAAGGTGCGCGGGCGGGGCGGGGGTCCCGGGGCGGGGCGGGGCGGGGGCGCGGGACGGGGGTCCCGGCGCGGGGCGGGATGGAGGCGGGGGTCCCGGCGCGGGGAGGGGGCGCGCGGCGGGGGTCCCGGCGGGGGTCCCGGCGCGGGGAGGGGGTGCGGCGCGGGATGGAGGCGTGGCGCGGGGCGGGGTCAGCGCCAGGCCCCGCCCCCGACCGAGCGGCCCCGCCCCCAGCTCCTGTCCCACTGCCTGCTGGTCACCCTGGCCGCGCGCTTCCCCGCCGACTTCACGGCCGAGGCCCACGCCGCCTGGGACAAGTTCCTGTCGGTCGTATCCTCTGTCCTCACCGAGAAGTACCGCTGAGCGCCGCCTCCGCGACCGCCAGGACCGG